CCTATTACAGTCTATTCTCCAGTGCTGGTGTTGAATCCTGGTGCTCTTCAAACATACAGCTAGGTATAGGAGTGTGCTTACCCCACAGGTTAACAAGGTGGTAGAGGCAGTGAGCAAAATCTGGCACACCATGCTAACATGCAAAAATTTTGCACCATACTCTCTTAGTGCCACATCAGGGATGGTATATGGTACAGTGGTTAAGAGCACTTGCTGTTCTTGCTGAGAATCTGGGTTCAATTCCCAGCCCTCACCTAGTGGCTCACAACCATAGATCACTCCAGTTCCAGGGGATCCAGTTCCCCCTTCTGATCTTCACAGGCATTGCATACATATGGTCCACATATATACATGGAGGCAAACACACAAACAAATAAAATGAAATTAAATAAAATAATTGCTAACAAATTTTAATTCAGAAAGTAACAATGATTAGGTAATTTCAGGATGGGGTGGTGTCCTGGAGGACACATAGGACTAGAGGCAAAGTTAACAGAAATTTTCTCAGAAGGTCCCAGGAAGGATTTTAGGTCCATATGTAACAGGACCCCAGACATTAGTAGGCTCTGAGACCTTAGCACAACTGACTCCATGATAGAAGTACCATTCAGGCCATACGTCTCAGCACATAGACAGCAACACCTGCCACATCTAAAACAAAGACCTAATCCATCAAAGCCCACGGTTCTGGGAAAGCCTCTAAATGTATTGAGCTCTTTGGCTTCTGTAGTTCTGCTCCTGGTTAACTGTTCTTGTTAACTGAAGTATGTTGTCTTAGTTAGGGTTTCATTTTTGTGGAGAGAAATCATAATGGACACAACTCTTATAAAGGACATTTAATTGGGGCTGGCTTATGGGTTCTGAGGTTCAGTCTGTTATCATCATCATGGTGGGAAGCATGGCAGCATCTAGGCAGGCATGGTGCTGGAGAAACTGAGAGTACTACATCTTGTCCTGAAGGCAAACAGGAGAAAACTGATTCGCACATGGCTAGGGGGAGGGTCTCAAAGCCCACTCCCACAGTGACACACTTTCTCCAACAAGGCCACACCCACTCCAACAAGGCCATAGCTCCTAATAGTGCCTCTCCCCAGGCCAAGCATATTCAAACCACCACATATGTCAACTCAGAACATGGTTTTTGTGCTTAAAAGCTCACCCTGAGAAAGGCCCAGGGCTACACAGGGATCCTGAGCACCCAGCATAATCATCAGCCAACTAATAAAGACTTTCTATTGGTTTAAACCCTTGTCTGAACAGTCTTCTCTGGTGAATACTTAATCCTTACAATCCTTACATAAGAGCATAAACTAGATGGAAATGAAGAAGGGAAGAAGAGAGGAGATTTTAGAATAGCTCCTGTGTAGGACCCCAAAGGGCTGCTATACCCTGGCTGAGCCTTTCCATATGCTGCTGTCTACTAAGTAACATTCTGTGGTTCCTCTAGGATCAAAATATCCTGACTAAGGCATGGTGCCTCAGTAAGGGAATTTACACTTGACATTCTATTGTCCCCCAGTTGAGTTCCTGTTTTTTTCGTAAGTTTGTATTTTTCCTTTCCTGGCTTGGTGTATGTATGTTGAACCTGCCCAGTAAAAGCTTTGGCATTCTTTCACAATGGATGAGCCTGAGTATTTCTTTAATCCCCCAGGCCTACGCCCGTACCACGGGCAGCGCTAGAGCTGTCACTCCTGCATGGGAGCAATCACATATGGGGCACTCACAGGGTATCTTGTCCAAGATGAATATTCAGATAGAGGAGGTTTGTGTGGGTCAAATGAGCGGAGAGACAAGCAGGTTTGGTTTTAAACAGTGAGGTGCCTAAAAGGCGCACAAAGAGGGACAATTAAACATGGGAGAGAAACCTTTACAGGTTAGACAGGTGGTGATGTGAAAGGGTACAGAATTGATTACAGGGAAAGAAAGCATGGTGGGTTATTGACACCAGGGACTGAGGGGGAGGGGTGGGGACAGAGGCATCTTGGGGGTTGGCGGACTTTGTTCAGGGTTGGGCATCAAGGGCATGTTGACAAAATTTTTGATGTACTTGTAGACAAGCCTTTAAGGTGCAGTTTTTAAAACTGTTTTGAAATTCAGCTTTCTCTAATTTGTTTCAACATGGTGTCAGTTCTGTAATTTGTTTCAACATGGTGTCGAGTTTCAGCAAACAAGGAAGAGAAATGATCTCATCCTTTTTTGATTAGGCTGGGAAGGGTGTTTCAGTGCCCCTTTGGATTGTAAAGTTACTGTAGCTCATAAACCCTATGAGTTAGATACTGTCTACACATAAGTAGGAATCTTGTTTATTCTCTAAAACACCTACTTCTGTAGAGCACTGGAGTTTAAAATATGCATATTTGTAGATTTAGTAGAACTCAAAGACTGAAACTTCAAGGAGTTACATTTTATTCCAAAACTCCTCTTGAATTAGTTCTATGTCTTCTTTTCTTTAGAAACTGTCCTCTGGAACAACTAAATTATCCATATTTATATAATCTTGTGCTTAATACCAAATGTATGCAATGTGCATATGTGTATGTGTTTGTGATTGCATGAGAGCTTGCATGCATGCATGCATGTGTGTGTGTGTATGAGGGTGTATGTGTATCTGTGTGTGCACATGCGTGTGTGTGTGTATGTGTATAAGGGTGTGTGTGTGTGTGTATAAGGGTGTGTATGTGTCTGTGTAAGGGTATGTGTGTGCATTTGTGATTGTTTCAGGCATGGTATCACCAAGAAGTCCAGACTGCCTCACGGCAATCTTTCCAGCTCAGCTTCCTAGTGAAGTGCTGGGCTACAGGACTCAGCCATCATGCCTTGTCTGATCTTTCTTTTCTGAGATAGGGACTCATATAGCTTAGGCTGACCTTAAACTTGCTAAGTGGTAGAGGATGACCCTGGACTTCCGTTTTGTTTTTGTTTTTCAAGATAGGGTTTCTCTGTATAGCCCTGGCTGTCCTGGAATTCATTCTATAGACCAGGCTGGCTTTGAACTCAGGAATCCGCCTGCCTCTGCCTCCCAAGTGCTGGGATTAAAGGCATGTGTCACCACTGTCCCCAGCTTGACCTTGGACTTCTGGTTCTCTGTCCATGACTGCAGGGACTACAGGCAAGAACCGTCCGGCTCTGGCTTGTTTTGTCTTTATTTTGTTTGTTTTTACTTTTCTGTTTTTTGTTTTTTTTTTTGTTTTTTTGTTTTTTTTTGTTTTTTTTTTCCCTGTGGTACTGGGGGTCTAACACAGGGGTTCACAGTCTGTGCTAGGAAAACAGTCTAGCATCTGATCTACATTCACAGTCCTCCATTTGCCTGTATACCTTTTCCTCAGGGTGGTTTCAGTGTCCCAGATTAAGTATAACACTAAAGCGGTGTGGTGACTGAGGGAGAGAAAGTTGAGAGGTGAGAGTTCAAGGAGAACGGACAAGTTAAGATGGCAACCTGATTGTCAGAGAAGCAGAAGGGAAAGAAAAAGTAGGCAAAGATCAGATCAAGGATGACAGAACTCTGGTCAATCTGTGCAGCCAGTGGCCAGATGGAGTCTTTCTACATGTTCCCGTCTGTTCTGGCACTTACTATGTACACTAGGCTGGCCTCGAACTAGCAGAGATCAGCCTGCCTCTGCCTCCAAGTGGTAGGATTAAAGACAAGCCACCACCCCAGCTAGCTTCTTTTTTATTTGCTCAAAAGAAAAATCTGTCTAGCTCAGGCCAAGCTGGAGAGTGCTGAGTGTTTTACTCAGAATCAGTCACCCAGCCTTCAGCCTTTCTTTGTTATAGTGCCCCAAGTCAGAGATACACAAGCCCTGTCCCTTTCACTATTAAACTGCTTTACTTCTCTGACCACTTCGATTCTGTGCCAAATGCAGTGACAGTGACTGTCACTGATTACAGCCAGCTTTGAATAAAATTGTCCCTATTGATCTCTTCTTGGTCTTCATCCCTGTCCCAGTGTTCATTTATATCCTATGTTAGCTGTGTTTTATGAGGGAACGTGTGACTTATCTTTGGGAACGTGTAAAAACAGATAGTCCTGCTTTCAAGAATATGGAGTTAGTGGGGCAGACAGGCACCTGATTGTAATTCAAAGGGAAACTGAAACAGAGGGTGTTTATAAAGAGATGTGGGGGTCGGGTAAGATTTTTGAAGGAAGACATCTTTAAGTCAAAGGTAAGACATGATCAGGAGCTGATAAAGTAGGTGAGAGGAATAAAATGAACAAAAACTATCAGGTCCAAACCGGCAAGGGTACACACCGGAGCTTAACTAAGAGGTGAGAAGATGCAGTAGGTGCATCGTGGACAGTGATGAAAGGGACAGGTTGTAAAAAAAATTCAGATTTTCTGCCATTCAAGAGACTTCTTCATGCAAATGAGGCACAGGGCTGGTATAAGCAAGAATAAAGGGACTGTTGCTTTTGTGTCACCGTATGGCCCAGGAGGACAACAATACAAATGTCCATGATCTGCACACAGTAGACAACCAACGTTGAAGAAATGGACACGAGCGCTTTGATGCAAACATCAAATCTCTAATTTTTTTCTCACAATGTTTCTATCATGAGAGATGGCAGTGATCCTGGGACATCAATTCGTGGACAAAAGGGACTGGATGGAGGAACTACCATTGTGGGAAGAAAGGTTATGGACAAGGGGTGCATAACTGTGGTGAGCATCCCGAGACCCATCCACAGAAACGTTCAACAGAGGAAGCTGCAGCGGAGGCCACCAGCAGGGAGCTGGCCCTGCAGCAGTCTCGGGTCCCAGCCCGCCCTCCAGGCGGAGCCTGGGTGCGACGTCTTTTCTATTGGGCGCGGCCGGGAGTCCAGGGGCGGGCATTCGTGACCGGGCACCTTTGGGGATCGGCCTCGCTGTGAACAGACGCTCAGTGTGTGACCGCCGCGGGTTTGTCCGTGGCTCCGGCTGCGCGCAGGGCGGGTCTCTCCGGGTCCCCTGCAGTTATTGGCTCGGTGCGGTTTCCTTGGGGACGTGGCGCCGCCGGCAGCCGGGCCTCCTTCCGGCTGTGTTGGGAGCCACGGGGAACGGCTGAGGACCAGGCCAGGCTGTGCAGAGGGACGAGCGAGCCTCGGGATCCCGTGAGTGGGATTGCGGGAGAGCTGCGGGACCCGAGGAGAGGAAGCGGAGTCCCCGTCCGTACCACCTAGGGTGGCGTGCTCTGTGAGCGCGGAGCTTGTCCATAGGAAAGCCCCGCGCCCGGGATGCGTGGTAGGATCCTCCGGGTCCGCGGGAGGAGAGAGAACCCACACGGAGCGCGGGTCAATACAGTGGGAGGGGAGTGTGCAGTCACTGCGGGGATCCGGTCCTTTGGGCACTGCTGGAGGCATGCCTGAAAGCCAGCCAACCCTTTCCAGGCTGCAGCTTTAGGAGATGCCTGGGACTAGGAGGCCACCCTCTCAGAGCAAAAGAAAACGGAGGTGACAGACGTCGAGACCATTAAAGGGAACCCATGGCTAGGTAAGGTTTTCACCTGTTATATCTGGCAGGGGGCTCAGTGGAGGGTGGTACCAGGGACAGGGGGGCAGGGGAGGGGGGCACCGGGAGGCTAGGTGAGGTTTGCCCTGAGGTTGCACCTAAACTTTGCATTCTGGTCAGGTGTATGCAAAGACATCAAAGCGGTATTCTTTGGAAAGGCCAGTCCAATACTTTCCAGCCCGTAACCTGGGATCTTGAGAGTAGCAGTGGTTGTCTCTGAAAGGTGCTTGAGTCAGGACAAAAGATTCAGTTTTTACTATGTATCTGTTAAAACTAATTTTAAGAAAAGGTCTCCTTGTGTATATAATTTGTTAAAGCATTTAAAAAATCAGTTAAATGACTTTCGTAACCATCTGGTTTCCTGACAGCGTTGCTAGTGGTCGTGTTGCAGCTTCTCTGATTAACCAGTATTAGGAAGTGCCCTCACCCCCACCCCGCGGCCCTCTCCCCGTCATCTTTGTATTAACATTAGATTACTCAAGCGCAGAGTTTGGAAACCGCACATCATGTCTTTCTAAACTGCATGATAGAAATACTATGAGCCATACAGGTGCTTGTCTCTCATTTGCAACTGAAAAAAAAAATTAGGCTTCTGTTGACATGGATTTTTGCCTGCAGGGCATTCATCTAGTTTTAAAGCAGTAATTTGTAGAGAGTTTTTAGGACTTAACAAATGTTTGTCTCATTCCAGGATCAGTTTTTCCTACCTCTGCCCAGCCCCCTGGTACTTCACTGTGCCCACAGTGAGCCCATTTTTCCGTCAGCGGGTGGCATTCCTGGGACTCTTTTTTATACCTTGTCTCCTTTTACTTCTATTAATCATGGATTTACGACATTGGGCCACTTCGTTACCACGAGATAGGCAGTATGAGAGGTAAGCCAGTTTTCTATCACTTTGCTCAGACTGGTTTTGAAGTTATAAACTTATTTTTGCAGTGCTGGGGACTGAACCAGGGTCTTGCAACATACTTGGTAACATCATGTCACTAAGTTATGTCCTCACCCTCTTTAAAATTTTGATGCCTGAGACAGGGTTCTCACTAAATTTCCCTGGCCCAGAATGACCTGGAACTCACTCTGTAGGCTGATCTTGAACTTGGGTGCTGTCAGTGCAGCTCGGCCTCTTGACTAACGGGATTGTAGTCTGTGGCGCTAAACCTGGCTGACTTTCTTTCTTTCTTTTTTTAAAATAAACTCTTGAATGCACTACCTTTGACTCCTGAGAGATATTTTTTTTTATTAGTAAAATTGCCTGCCATTCATTACATAAGGAAAGTCGTAAGTTCCATTTTGGCTGTGTTCAGTTTTAGTTCAAGAATGCTGATGCTGTATTTCAGCCATGAAAGGTAGCTTTCTGTTTTCTTGTCTGGGTGGACTGAGGCTCACTGGGTAATACATGTTGTGCCCTTTCGATGAATTGACTTCTCTATCTTTGTTAAATGGGTCTCTTTATCATTGATGTTATTCTTTGCTCTGAAATCTACTAGCCTGATATTAACATAGCTGTTTCAGCTTTCTTCTGAATTATGTTAATGTTATTCTTTTCAGTACTTTTAAGTTTGTCTTTTAAAAATATTATTTTTATTTGCATGTGGGAGTCCTGTGTGTGTTTATGTGTACCATGCCTAAGGAGGACAGAAGGTGTTGCATCCCCTGGAACTGGTATTATGGATGGTTGTGAGACACCATGTGGGTGCTGGGAACCAAACCTGGGTCCTCTGGAAGAACAGCCAGTGCTTTTACCTATACAGTACCGTGTGTGTGTGTGTGTGTGTGTGTGTGTGTGTGTGTGTGTGTGTTGGGGCTTTTCGTAGATAGTGAGTTTGGTCTTGCTTGTTATCCATTCTGGCTGTGTGGGTCTCAATCCATTTATGTTTTGTCTGTTAGTGATGTTTAGACCTGGTCTGTCTTATCTTTTGTGTGTGTGTTGTATTTGTCCATCCCCCTGCCCCTTTGTCCTGTCTTTGGAATTGAGTACTTTTTTTTATAATTCTATCTTGTCCTTTTAGTTGGATTAATCAGATATAATTTAATTCCTCTTAATGGTTGCCTTAGGGTTTATAGTGTGGAGCTGTATCACATGGCTTGTACTTCAGGTGATGCGTTGAAACAGTCTGACAGCAGGAAACCTTCCGTCTACCTTTCCCAACAGTCTTTAAGCTATTGTCAGATATTTTATTTCTACAAATGGTGTAAGTTCAATAACACATTGTTATTATCTTAAACAGTCAATTGTCTTTTCAAGGTTTTTTTTTTAAAGAATTAAAAAAAAAAAAGCTTGTGTGTTTACCAATATATTTATCTATGCATCTCGTATCATATTCCCATTTGTCTTAAAAAAAATTCTTTTTCCCATTCCTAGTAGGGTGAGTCTATGGTGAGTGAATTCTTCCAATTTTCATTTTTTTATTTTTGACAAAGTCTTTGCTTTCATTTTGGAAATAATAAAAAAAAAGATCCATCGTTAAAGAACTCCTTCACTGATGGTTTTTTTCTTGTTGGCTTGCATTCTTTCTGAGAAGTCTGCTGTCGTGTGTCTCCTGTGTAGACGTGTCTCCTTTCCTTCTGAGAGCTTTCGAGATGTTCTCCTAGTGATCTGAAGCGGTTTGTGCTGTGCTTTGTGAGCGTTTTCTCCGTGATTAGTGACTCTTGCTCGGGAGCAGTCATGCGCAGAGAGTTTGCTCTGCACAACGCCGAGGTACAAAGGTGACTCTAACACGACCCTTAGATTTGTAGATCTATAAGAGTTTTAAAACCAAGTTAAAAAAATTTTGACCATCATCTTTTTATCTGTTTTTCTGTTCTTCGAGGACTCTGGCTGCATGTGCATTGAGCCTAGACGCTTTCCCCAAACCAACTGATGATGTAGGTTTTTTTTTTCCTCTGTGTGTTTTATTCTGGATATTTTATTTCTGTTTGTTTGTTTGTTTGTTTAAAATAGGGTCTCATTAGATAGCCCTGGGAAACCTCAGATTCTCTATGTAGCCCTGGCTATATAGAGATCTGCCCGCCTCTGCTTCCCAAGTGCTGGGCCTAAAGGTGTGCACCCCCCATACCTGTCTCATTAATACGCCTTCCATAATGCTGCACATACTGTTAATCCTGCCCAGTGAAAGCAGAATATCCTTTTTCACAGAAAAATTTCCTGAATTATTCCTGTGCTTTCAGTGTCCTAACATCTTCATGAGAGGGCCTGAATTCTTCTATAGAAAACTCATGTTTTTATATTTTTATCTCTCTTTCTTTCCTTTATTTTCTTCTTTCTTTCTTTCTTTCTTTCTTTCTTTCTTTCTTTCTTTTGAATTGCTTCTTAGACATGTATCAGGGGACTTTGGGCTCCAACTAATAACTCAGATCAACTTAAATAATAATAATTACAAAAAAAAACCTTATTGGCACATATTACTTGATGTCCAGAGACACAGAGGCTTGGCATCAGCCACATTAGCCAGCAGGATGGAAGTTGCTGTACTTCTCCATCTTGCCACTTACAGGATTATTTAATGGTTGTAAAATTGCTACCAGTAGCACCCAGGGCCACAGGTATTCTCATTCAGGTTCCGTCGAGAGAGACGCAGGCTCTGCATGGCCCTCTCATAGTAAGGATGGAGGTGAATCTTGCCCGAATCCTCTAGCAACGCTTTCATTGAAGCCTTTTGTGGTCAGAATTGTGACAAATTCTTACTTTTCATCAGTTCTGTCCCCAGAGTTTCTCATTTCATATTTTATGTTGTTGTTAACAGTTATAATCATGTGGAAAGCCATGATGGGCAGGTGCTGCTGGTCTACCAAACAGCTGCTTCCATAATGCTTCTATGTTCAACCTTCCTTCCATTAGAACTCTTGTTCCTTTGTAGCTTAGGTTTTCCTTCCTGGGAGAGAATATACTGTTTGCGTCACTATAGTAATCATGCAGGAAAAGAAATTTGTTCATTTAAATCGTAAGTTTTACATCTGAGTCCATAAGTTGAGTTTCTTTGCTGCTTACTGGGATTTTCTTGACAGACCCGAGCACAGCTTTCCATTGGCAGAGGCACGATCTGACTGGGATTCCATACAGATTAGCTAACACGGCTGGGGCTAACAGTCAGAGGGTGAGGAATGAGCTGGACAGGTAGACGAGCATCTGGCTGGTTAAGAGTGAGCTGTACAGTGGAGAGGTACATTAGGGTCTAGCTCGTTACACTGTTGGATCAGGGGTGGGGATAGGAGCGGGAGGCAGGGATGGGTGGAACTGTTCCAGATTTCAACGTAAGGGCAGAGAAAATGTTTAGAAGGGTTTGAAGGGAGGTGTGCTAGGACTTACTCTTTTAAAAAGCTCAGTGCTGGGCTGGAGAGATGGCTCAGCAGTTAAGAGCACTGACTGCTCTTCCAGAGGTTCCGAGTTCAATTCCCAGCAACCACATGGTGCCTCACAACCATCTGTAATGGGGTCTGATGCCCTTTTCTGGTATCTCTGAAGAGAGCAATAGTATACTCATATGCATAAAATAAATAAATAAATCTTTAACAAAAATTAAAAAAAAAAAAAAAAGCAACTCAGCAGTGGTGGCACACACCTTTGGTCCTAGCACTCGCGAGGCTGAGCAGGTGGATCTGTGAGTTCCAGGCTAGCCCCATCCGTCTACAGAGTTTGTTCCAGGGTAGCCAAGGCTATACAGAGAAGCCCTGTCATGAAAGACAAGCAAGCAAACAAACAAGCTCACATTGATGGCATTGTGGAGAACGAATTAGAAGGACATAGGAAAGCGGAGAGACTTCCGTGAGCAGAGAGGAGGGGTAGCAACGCAGATAAAGCAGAGTCAAGCCCGGAGTGAGCTGTAGGAGGTACAGTGACCCACTGTGTCCTAAGCGACCAGATCCAATAACTACTTGTTAGGTTGGTTTAATTGAAGTGAGATCACTGTGGAACTGTGGGGCACACACATTGTCCACTGGAAGGACATTACCAAAGTCCTAACACCCTGAGCCCATTCGCTTAAGCAGTCAGCAGCCTTGTACCCCCAAGCTTATCTTTATTTAATTGACAGCCATATGCACACTGCCGCTAACAGCTGTGTGCTATAAATTCCTCTTGTGGCAGCCTCCACGAGACATCTAGGGGTCAAACATTCTCTGAGTACTTGCCATGGGTTCATAGTATTGTATTAGACACTGAGGTACAAAGATGAACAGAACGTGGCTCCTGGACACAGAGTTCATAACCTCATTAGACAGCAGGTCTGAGTGAATAATTGAGATAAGTCATTTAGAATCAGGAACAAAGTTAATCATAAACGAATCATAAAAGACCCATGAGTAAGCAACCAGATATGCTACTGTAAGTTCATGTTCTGTGCATGCACATTGTGATAAGATAGGACCTTTCATACTGCTTGCTTCTTCCTTGTTCTTGCCCTCTCTCTCCTCTTCCTCTCCTTCCTCCTTGTGTTCTTCTCCCTCCTCCTCCTCTCCCTCCTCTTTTCCCTCCTCTTTGTCTTTGTTTTCCTCCTCTCCCTCCTCCTCCTCTTCTTTTCTCTTCTCTTGTCTTCCTCTCCCTCCTCATCTTCCTCTCTCTCCTCCTTGTCTTCCTCT